CTCTCTCAAAGATTAGATATTAATTAATTATTAATTAAAAGTAATAGTAATAAAAGTGTTTGATTTATATTATTAGATCAATATATTTAATATAAAACAATACAAATAATTAATTGATAAAATAAGGGGCGTTTGCACTATTCAAACAAATTTAAAAAGTGCCTTTTGTAACAATAGTATCATCTTGGTTTAATGCCAATTCTACTCAATTACCCTTATGTAGTAGCTATCAATTTCTAATCTAGGTATTTTTGCTGATCTTTGTTATTTTCATTATTATAAGTTAATTGTAATTTATTTGACGTTAATTTCTAAGAAAAATATTGCAATAATTGTGTACTCATTATACACTCAATTGCCCATAAAGTCGTGTACACTATGCGTGTGTTATAACAAAATCAATAAATAAATATTTGGTTAATTACTTCATATTATTTGCAATAATAATTGATAACATTTAATGAAAGCAAAATAAATAACAACTTGAATACTAAACAAATAAAACAATAATCAATAAATATAAACAATTATTAATACAAATCAATACTTGTTTGTCACCGATTAGGATCTGATCCCATTATTACACAGATTATACCTACTATAATATACTTAACACTAATAATAAATAACTAATCTCGATCATTGTTCTTTTTACTTGAAGGTCGGTTGTGTATTACGTAAACTACGAAATTGGCAATCGTTGGCCAGTCTTATCCATGGCCTGCAATCGCCTCAGATTTATAGCCTAAGCAACGCCTGGTTTGTCACCCGAGCTAAATATCCCATACATTTTAAGTAAGTATTTTTTACCGCGATGAATCTCAAAACAAACCCGGATTATTTTATTTACTAAATACATAAGGATGTTGTTCACATAATAATCCTGTTTTGTCTTAAGATATATTGATATAAAGCAACTTTAATTAAATATTGAACGATATAGATGATAAAACATATTAATAAACAATCATAATATAATAAATTTAATTACCATAATTAATCATAATTAGTAAATATACATGCATATTGATAAAACTAGATCATATAATAAGCACAGTGTATTCAATTGGGTTAACATTTAACCTTAAATAAACAAATTAGCACAAAATTGACCAAGTATATTACTTATCATCTAGTGATTACCTAAAACTATCGCGAGTGGTCCGTAACGACAGCGTTGCGATCCTACGCTCGCACCAGCCGTCCATACCATCGCTATCATCATTCGTATCGCTACTACGGGTGCGATGTGTGGCCACGTGGGACCGGCTCGACAGTAACCCCCGGTGGACCGAATCGCCATCACTGGTCCAATGGCTAGAGGGACAGATGCTGACAACCCTCGCTCTACAGGAAAGTATGGGCAACAGTGCCGTCCGGGCAACTGAGGCCCTGCGCCAAAAGGCACGCAAACAAAAACAGATTTACGCCATTGTGGAGAAGTTTATAGAGGACTCGACCCCCGGAGCCGTCGCCGGTCGGCCCGCAGAGTCACATATGGACAGGTGTTTGAAGGAGTTGTCGCCCGAGAAGCGCTCGTTTATGCCCCTAAATGATCCGATTTATTTTATTGAGCATGATCATTTGCCCGTCGCCTGGACCCAGCGCTCGGCCCGACATATACCGGCAGAGTATCAAAGTAAAATTATCAGGTGCTTTGCAAACTCGTATAATATTGAGATATCGTTGTTGAAAGCATATAAGATGACGTCCTAATAGAGAAGTTAGACTGTACTGTATTTTAGTTGTTTTTATTTAGTTTTTTTTAAATTTTTTAAAAACATGTTTAAAATTATTTTAATATATTTCAGTTATTTATCTAAATAGATTATTTTATTTGTGAATATTTTATTTAAAATTTTTGTTTAATTAATATATTATTTAATGAAGTGTTTGAGTTTTTATTAGGATTTTTATTTGAACATTGTTTTTACTTTCATCGAGCCTTAATGTAGTCAATGATTAATTTAACTAGTGAGTTATTTTGCCAATGTATAAGATAAATGTGATTGATAAATATTAAATACTGTATATAATTAACAGTAATTAAAGTCCACTCGTTATTAATAAACATAATAGAAATTATATTTTATACAAGAATTTATAATATAAATAAATAAAATTTATAACTATTAAAATAAAAATTAATATTTAAAGCAAATGCAATTAAATCAATTTTCATGAATGATAATGGTATAAATAACAACAATATTGGCTATAGCAATGCAAATTATTTTTAAAAATACAAATATATAATTAAACTGCATTTACTATTAATAACTTTTAATTAATTACACTCTTAATTTTTGGGCAAATTTGTGAACTAATATAAAGTAGCGGACGTACAATACAATCATCTGTAAAAATCATAAATGTAAAATATAAACAATTAATTAGTCATGTAACTTTTACAAAACTTACCTTGTGAAACACTGGGAATGTCATAACGGCCATCGGACCGATACGGAGCCCTATCTTCCTATTACTGCTGAGTTTCTCGAAATACGTTAAAAGTTTTAATTTAAATCTTAAACCAAATAACTCTCTATTGAAACACCATTGAAGTCGTGATAACTTTTTGTTCATTATATGACATCTCTTTGAAACCAATGCCATTGAATACTGAATACCAAATAAACCATTATAAGCAGTGAGCAAATCAACGCAAAATATGATCATGATAAATAATGATAGTTCCTCAAATAACACCTGGTGCAATAAGATCAGTGTTATTGGAAACATAGTTAACATTAATGCCATATTTAAATCACCAAAGTAGCTGTTAATTTGGCTAAATAACTGACATAAATAATTATGATCAATAATGTATGACGTAATTACACGCTTGGTATAAGGGTTACGATTGCCCGAAACTTTTAACCATAAAGTTGCAATATCTCGATTACCATAATTGATTCTCAAGAATACATAATAGGCTAACACCAATGCTATTCCCCCGCCAACAAAACAGTCTAGATATATCATAATGGTTACGACAATGAATAATATTTGGGATAATAGTGTTATTAAACCAAATATTAACGATTGACTAAGGCCATTGTACTCAATGGCGTTTGCTAATAAGTATATTGTCACCGAGGTAGCTTGCGGATATAATTATAAACATTATTTAATAACCATTTTAAATGCATAATAAATTTTGTTAATAATTTATTGTGAACATAATACTTACCGATGCAAACAATTGTTACGTTCATAAATGGATAGATAAGTTTATCAAAATTGATCACTTTATTGAACAGCTGTTTGTCAACCGATTGGCGTACCGGACGTAATCGGGTTCGCAGTAACTCTAATACCTGTATCCAACTCTTGTTTGTACCCAAATTTCCCGTATATAACCGTAATTTAATGTTGAGCACCAGACCAAACATTACAATACAGACCAAATACATACGGGTATATTTAGGTATACCACCTAAGAATAGAGATAGGTCAAAACATAATATACGGGTCTCGGGGCTAAACTTAATAAATAAGCTCAAAAGATAGAATGTAATAAAAAATGTTTGAATTATCAGGAGTAAATAACTGCTTATTTTTGCTAGTATATATTTAGTGCCATCAATAGATCCATTAGCAATAATATCAAGATAAAAATCAATTAAGATACTTTTAACGGTATTTTTATCATAATTGTTATTGACAATAAATGTGTTTACTTTGTTTTTAAACATGATGGTTATTAATAAAATATTTATAATTAAAATTGATTTTTAATTAGATTAAAAAATAGTTTACTATATAAAGTTACTTTATTATTTATAATTGTTAGAGCAAATACAGTTATTGGAATACTAATACTGACCTTATGGATTTACATAAATAATATTTTATATATAATATTACATTCAAAATATAGACATTGATTAATGATTAATATATTGATATTTAATTAGAGAAAAAGTCGTTCGTGAAAATATGATTGTATTGTTTTTGAAATTACGTAAAACCTACATTCATTTTATGTTATATTATAATATTTAAACAAAAATACAAAAATAAGTTAATTTCTAAATTTTTAAATAATATCTATAAAATGCTGAAATTATTTTAAAAATATCAATATATTGTAATATTATAAGTAGAAAATGTAGAATATACAATTATGTCTTAAAAAGCATTGGAATAAAATAAGCTATATGGTATATAAATGTATATAGACTTGCTAACTCGTTAAGGCTTGCCTTACACAAATCCCAATTTGAGTAATTTCACACTGTTAATTTTTGTGCAAATTTGTGAACTAATATAAAGTAGCGGACGTACAGTACAATCATCTGTAAATAAAATAAATGCAGAATATAATCAATTAATTAGTCATATATAAATTTAATAAAATTTACCTTGTGGAACACTGGGAATGTCATAACGGCTATGGGGCCGATACTTAACCCTATCTTTCTATCACTACTGAGTTTCTCGAAATATGTTAAAAGTTTTAATTTAAATCTCAATCGAAATAACCCTCCGTTGAAACACCATTGAAGTCGTGATAGATTTTTATTCATTATATGAAACCTCTTTGAAACCAATGCCATAACGTATTGAACACCAAATAGCATAATATAAGCAGTGAGCAAATTCACACAATGTAAGGTTAGAATAAATAATGATAGTTTCTCAAATAACACCTGGTGCAATATGATCAGGGTTATTGGATAAAATGTGAACATGTATGCCATATTAATTCTACTAAAGTAACTGTTGACCTGGCTAAATAAAACACATAAATAATTATGATCAACAATGTATGACATAATTATACGCTTTGTGTAGGGGTTATAATTGCCCGATACATTTAACCATAAAGTTGCAATATCTCGGTTACCATAATTGATTCTCAAGAATGAATAATAGGTTAATACAGATGATATGGCCGCTCCTACAAAACAATCAAGGCAAAATATGGCGCTTATGGTAACGATGCATATTTGAGATAATATTGTCATTAAACCAAATATTAACGATCGGTTAAAGCCGTTGTATTCAATGGCATTCACAATCCAGTACATTGTAACTAGGGGTACTTTTATAAATATTATTAAAAATATTTACATTATAAATTAATAAAGTTGAAACACTCATTATAATTTATAATAAAACATACTTACAATTACAAGCAATTATTACATTCATGATTTGGTAAACTATTTTAGCAAAATTAACCACTTTAGCGAATACTTGTTTGTCTACTGATTGGTTAATTGGACGCAATCGGGTCCTCATTAAGTAAAATATTTGTGTCCAACCCTTGTTTGTACCGTAATTTCCAGTATATATCCTGGCCTTAATGTTGAGCACGATGCTATATATCAGCATATTGACTAGATACATACGGGTGTATTTTGGGATGCCACCTAAGAACAGAGATAGATCGAAAAAAAGTATCCTGGTGTCGGTGCTAAAATTAATAAATAAGCTGAAAATATAGTATGTGAGATAAGTGGCTTGAATTATCATAATTAAATGACTGATAGCTTTGGTGATTGTATATTTAGTGCCGAGAATAGGCCCATGATCAATTATGTCAATATAAAAATCAACAAAAATATTTTTAACCTTATTTTTGTCATAATTGTTATTAACAATTAATGTGTTTACTTTGTTCTTAAACATGGTAATTATTGATAATTATAAATTGGTTATACTTTATTTAATATAATTAATTATCAGGTTAATTTACTATACGGAATATAATTTATGTTTGTTTAACTACTCTTAATGACAGTTAATACAACACGAATACAGACACTATTTATGGAAAAATATACTTAATATAACATTTTATCCAAAATATAGTTGTTTTCCATTGATTTATAAAGGGCCGGTCAATGTATCTCGCACAGTTTGTTTCGCCGATTACGCTAAAACTACAATAGATAATCAAATTCTGTAAAATGCATTTAAGAGCCCCATATACGCTAGTTCTTGTGAATATATAACTTTTAAATTTTGGTCACGTGGTATACAAAATATGGGACAATTCCAAAAGCACATGTTATTGATCAAACGATAAGAAATATTGAGATGGTCCCCATGGGAAATTTTTAAAGCAATAATAGGTGAGTACAATAAAACAAGAATTACTAAAATCTGATGGGTAATATAGATTTTATAGCTCAACAAAGACATGCTTTTCGTAATGCTAATCCTATGGGCAAATTTTAAGTATGAAATATTGAGATGATCCCANGCTTTTCGTAATGCTAATCCTATGGGCAAATTTTAAGTATGAAATATTGAGATGGTCCCAATACAAAATATTTCGAGCAAATAATTGTGTATAATATAAAAAAAGAATTATCAAAATCTGATATGTATTTTAGGTTTTATCAACAAAAGAGTGATGGTATTTTATATTAATATTAATGTTTACAATATGATAAAAATAAAATATTTTTAATAGTATTGGTTTTAATGTAAATTACAACATTTATTTGTAATTATTATGTATATTCTTTATTATAATCTGTTTATTAAATGAACAAAAAGTATAATTTTTACAAAATGATCAAAATAAAATATTTTTAATAGTATTGGTTTTAATGTAAATTACAACATTTATTTGTAATTATTATGTATATTCTTTATTATAATCTGTTTGTTAAATGAACAAAAAGTATATTTATGAGATATCTCGTTTATAAAGACCATCACTCTTTTGTTGATAAAACCTAAAATACATGTCAGATTTTGATAATTCTTTTTTTATATTATACACAATTATTTGCTCGTGATATTTTGTATTGGGACCATCTCAATATTTCATACTTAAAATTTGCCCATAGGATTAGCATTACGGAAAGCTTGTCTTTGTTGAGCTATAAAATCTATATTACCCATCAGATTTTAGTAATTCTTGTTTTATTGTACTCACCTATTATTGTTCTAAAAATTTCCCATGGGGACCATCTCAATATTTCTTATCGTTTGATTAATAACATGTGCTTTTGGAATTATCCCATATTTTGTATACCACGTGACCAAAATCTAAAAGTTATATATTCTTAAGAACTAGCGTATATGGGGCTCTTAAATACTTTTTACAGAATTGAATTACCTCTTGTAGTTTAAGAGTAATTGACCAAACCGCGTGTGCGAGATACCTTGACTACCCCTTTACAATTAAGTGCATCAATCTGTACTTTTTAATTGAATTTTAATTATTTAATCTACATGTATATTCTGTAAGATATAATAACAGTAAATTTATTTATTTGACAAACTCTATTTAAACTAATAAAATAATCAAGTTAAAATTCAACTATCATTGAATGAAAAATAACAATCATTATTATTATCTGGGATAACAAATAAGTTATTTAAAATAACATAACAATTAATAAAACTAATTGTTTAATTAGAAATTCATATAAACATGTCGTGTGTTTTAAAAGTCATAAATCTCTGTCACAAGTGGACCGAAATAATGTTTGTAATTCCTATATTCCCGGAGCCATGCCTTGGATTGCAACTCATTTAATAGCATTAAATCTCTCAATAAAAACATTAATTTTTGTAGTTTTACTCTCGATTCAGATTCCGAGCGGTATTTCAATAGTAGACATCTTTGCAGTAAATATATATACAGTTGTTGTTCGAGTCTAACAAATAAAAGAAGTTAAAAATTGTTATTAATTTAAACCCTTTGTAATCTAAATAACATGTAAATACATGTACTTACTTAACACTTTGTTTATGCTTTAAATTTGGTCGATTAGGATTATATAATACTATTGCTGTTAACTATATGTTCAAAATAAATAATAAATGAACATGATAAGTATGGTTAAAGGTTGATAATATCTAACTTACCAGGTCAGTTGCAATAGAATCATTGTAATTGCATTCATCAAACAATGTGTTCATTAAAGGCTTAACACCATCATCATAATTCAAATACATAAATTCAAATAATCTAAAATTGACCTCGATTGTATTACTCTCATCCTATATACACAGCATTTAACATATAAACATAGTACATTTTAGTACTTAGATACTTTATTAAAGTGATTATACTTACTAATGGGATGTAAAAGGTTTCTTTGTCTTTGTTAAAAAATTTTAAGGTCCGAATTGACATCAAATCGTCGTAACCGTACTTCAATAGCGCCACCCTATCCTCACAGCATATCCTATTGAATGTGGACAGAGATTTAGCAAAATTGACCATGTCCACTACTGAGCCATCTTGTCTCGGTCCACATTCTCTTAGCATTTCCTCTAAATTATTCACTTGTCTTATATTATTAGACATTTTGTAGTCAAACACAACGGCAGCGCTCGACAGCTCCGACAACCGGTTGGTTTCCAATTCATTCAAACCGTTATAATCCGTGATTTCCCTAAACATGGGAACAATTGTCGTGTTTTCGCATTTCTGTTTCACTTTTGTGATTGACATCAAATCGTTGTCTAAAGTATTGTTTGTAATCTCTTTAAAATTAATGTCAATTGAATTGCCAAACAATTCATTCAAAATGTCTTTCTCTTTGTTTTCATCAAAAGTAATAATATTATTACAATTTCCATGAATTAGTTTATTTTCACGAATCAATCTTTTTCTCATTTCATTTTCCTCATCACTTCTGATAAATTCCTATTAAAAACATAATAAATATTACAATTAATTAATTATAGAAATTATAATAAATACTTTTCTCATCCCAACTGCGAGACACTTCTCGAGCCGACATTTGGTGCATATCTTTCTCGTCATTGGATTTATAATGCAATTACCATTTGAGGGACAATACAATGGCTAACAATTCAATTATATATTTAGTAATTATAATTAAATATTTTGTAAAATAAATACCTTATTCTTTAGTCCATAGCGTCTGAAAAATGATTTACACGACTCACACGTTATTACAGTAAAATTTCTGCCTAAATAACATTCATGTTTTAATAATAGAATTAAATTAAATTAATTAATAAACAATTTAATACCAGATCCTCTATCGCCACAAACTTCACATATTTTGTGTGATTTATTATTATTTAATTCACTATTCATTATTAATTATAAATAAAATGTTTACGTTTTGTTACAATTAAATGAATGCAATTTAAAAATATGTTGCAACTTTTATTGACTAAAAAATTTATATTTAATATAAGTTATACAGTATATAATGATACTTTTGAGATAGTATGACATGTATTACAAAGTCCGTAAACACACATACGAGTACCTACTGATTAAATTATTACTTTGATAAGTATAAACTTAATAATAAACACATGAACAAAATTACTACACATTTTGTGAACAAATTATTTAATTTTGAGTCACTTTTATTAAATGCTTCCTTATTAAAAGCCAAGAACAAGGTTTGACTGAATAACTAATTGTAGCAAAAATGCAATTGAATTTATAGTTTATTATTGCAAAATAAAGTAATGTAAATTGAACATCTGGTTCAGAATTATAAGTTAACTTCTTGTGAACCAAACTTAATGAAACTCGGATTCTGATGCCTAGAAATGAGAAACTTAAATTATGGTCATACTTGCATATTTCTATTTGCACGATAACATATTAGTTATACTATAATTATTTATTTTATACATGATTTAGTTTGATCAGTAAATGTTTTTTTTTAAATAACAAATACAATTACATCACATTTTGTGTAACAAAATATTTCATTTATTTATTTTTGCAAAAACTAATTTAAATTATAAATATCATAAACATGTCGTTGTGTTTAAATGTCATAAATCTCTGTTATAAGTGGTCCCATATATTGCTTATATTTCTTGTACTCCGGGAGCCATACCTTTAATTCTAACTCATTTATTATAATTATGTCTTTCAGTAAAAGCATTAGTTTTTGCAGTTTTACTCTCGATTCCGATTCCGAGCGGTATTTCAATAGTAGATATCTTTGCAGTAAATATATATACAGTTGTTGTTCGAGTCTAACAAATAAAAGTGGTTAACAATTCTTATTAATTTAAATTCGTTGTAATTTAAAAAAAATACTTACTTAACATTTTGCTTATGTTTTAAATTTGGTCGATTCGGGTTATATAATAGTATTGCTGTTAACTACATTTTGATAACAAATAATAAATTAAACACGATAATTGTGACATAAACTTAAAACTTGCCAGGTCAATTGCAATAGAATCATTGTAATTCCATTCATCAACCAATGTGTGCAGAATAGGTATAACAACATGATCATAACCGAAACCCATCTCTCTAAATATATTCATATTGGCCTCGATCGTATTATTATCATCCTATGTAAAAAGTGGAAAGTAATACAAAGTTTTTAAAATATAAAGTCTATATTATAACCAGGCAGAATAAAATAGGGGATATTATTAATATGACGTGGTTATTGAATCATCAAGGTGGCTTAAAAGTGTAGACTGTATTTTACACTATAGTACACTATATGTGACTAACATATGAATAGTGTATAAATAACAACACAAGTGTTTTATGCTGGGTGCACTGAGGTGCAAATTCTGCCTGCTCATAGTCTATATAAAGTAAGTCTATATAAAGTCTTTATATAAACGTGTAATAATAAATTTAAATTGATCAGCAATTTAATGTAGCGTTGTTTTTGCTCACCAAAGGTATGTAGAAATTTTCATTGTATTTGTCGTAAAACTTTATGGTCCGGATTGACAGCAACTCATTGTAGCCGTACTTCATTAGCACCACCTTATCCTCAGAGCATATCGTATTGAAAGTAGACAGAGATTTAGCGAAATTAATTATATCCATCACTGATCTGTCCTGACTCGGGCCACAAGTCCTTAGCATTTCCTCTAAACTATTCACTTGTCGTATATTATTAGACATTTTGTAGTTAAACACAACGGCAGCGCTCATCAGCTCCGATATCCTATTGCTTTCCAATTCATTCAAACCGTTATAATCCGTGATTTCTCTAAACATGGGAACAATTGCCGTGTTTTTGCATTTTTGTTTTCCTTTCGCTATAGACGTTAAATCCTTATCTAATGTAATGTTTGTAATACTATTGACAATTTCTGTAATCTCATCAAAATTAATATCAATTGTATTGTCGAGTATTTCATCCAAAATGTCTTTTTCATTGTTTTCGTCGAAAATAATTAAATCATTTAAAGAGTCATCAGAAGAAGAGACCGACGAAATGCATGTATTGAGCAAATTATCACAATTTCCTTGAATTAGTCTATTTTCTCGCATTGCTTTCTTCCTCTTCTCGTTTTGCTCATCACTTCTGATAAATTCCTATTAAAAAAGACATAATAAATATTACTATTTATTAATTATAAATATAATTTTAAATACTTTTCTCATTCCGACTGCGAAACACTTCTCGAGTCGACACTTCTGGCATAATTTTCTCGTCAATAGACTTATAATGCAATTACCATTTGATGGACAATTCAATGGCTAACAATTTAATAGTATATTTAATATTAATAATTAAATTACTTGTTATATAAATACCTTATTCTTAAGTCCATAGCGTCTAAAGAATGATTTACACGATTCACATGTAATTACAGTAAAATTTCTGCCTAAATAACATTCATGTTTTACTATTTAATTATAATTTTACTAATAATAAACAATTTAATACCAGATCCTTTAGCGCCGCAAACTTCACATATTTTATATTCTTTCTTATTATTTAATTCACTATTCATTATTATTTTAATTATTATTTTAACAAAATGAATAATTTTTATAATAATTAAATGTATGGAACTTAAAAAATATATTGCAATTTGTTGTTGACTACAAAACTATACCGTATACAACATAACTGTTATGTTTAGTATTAAAATGTGTCAAGTGTTACAAAAATAGATAAAACTCATTCACTGCCAACTGATTAGATGGCAAGTTTAGCTAAATATAATGGGGTACACTTAGCTTTTGAGCTATTTAATCAAGCTACTTACAGTGATACCTACATTGCATATAAGAAACTTATAATTGACATTTCCGTTTATCAAATAATACAACAGCAAATAAATTACAATAAAAAATATTTTATTTAGTACATTATGTCATTTATAATAATTTGTTGTAAACAAATCAAACACATTATTAATGTCAATTATTATGATTCTACATAGATATATTTAAAACCCATAAATCTCTGTCATAAGTGGACCAAAATATTGCTTATATTTCTTGTATTCAGGAAACCCAAAATTAATTTCCAACTCATTTAATATATTTAAGTCTTTGAATGTAAGCATCAGTTTTTGTAGTTTTACTCCCGATTCAGATTCCGACCGATATTTCCATAGTATATATCTTTTCAGTAAATGTATATATAATTGCTGTTCAAGTCTAACAAACATAATAAAGTGGTTATAATTTATAACTAAAATTGTTGTGTATTTATATAACTTACTTAACACTGTGTCTATGTATTAGATTCGGTCGATTCGGGTTATAGAAAGCTATTGCTGTTAACTTAATATAATATTTTAAAAATATATATGATAAATTAAAAGTTATAAATTATTATGTTTTGCTAAAACTTTTAAAAAATAACTTACCAGGTTAACTGCAATAGAATCACTGTAATTCCACTCATCAACCAACGTGTTTAATATCGGCTTAAATGTATGAAGGGTATAATTAGAATCATTCTGTGGAAATACATTAAAATTGGCCTGGACAGTATATCTCTCGTCCTATTATAACAATAAATAAATATTTACAAACATTAGCTATAATTAATAAATAATTAATTTTTATAAAATTATAAACATGTTAAACTCAGTGTAATTACGGTAATAAAATAGATTTACTTACAAAAGGTATGTAGAAATTACCGGTCGTTTTGTTGTAATACTTTAGGATCCGTATTGACAGCAATTGATTAAAGCCGTACTTCATTAGCGCCACCCTATCCTCAGCGCATATCCTATTATAGCCAGATAAACATTTTGTAAAAGTGACCATGTCCTTTAGGGAATCGTCTTGTCTACGGCCACAGATTCTTAGCATTTCCTCTAAATTATTCACTTGTATTATATTATTAGATATTTTATAGTTAAACACAACGGCAGCGCTCGACAGCTCCGACAACCGGTTGTTTTCCAATGCATTCAAACCGTTATAATCCGTGATTTCCCTAAAGATTGGAACAATTGCCGTGTTTTTGCATTTCTCTTTGAAATCTGGGATTAAAAGTAAATCCTTATCTATAGTAATATCTGTAATAGAGGTTTCAATGTTTGTCATCTCATCATTAATCTCATCCAAATTGATGTCAATTGAATTGTCGAGCAATTCATCCAAAATGTCTTTCTCTGTGTTTTCATCGAAAATAATTAAATCATTTGAAAAATCGGTACAAGAAGTGACCGAAGCAATGGATGTATTGACCAAATTATCACATTTTTCTCGTTTTAATTTATTTTCTCGCATCGCTTTCCTTCTCATCTCATTTTCGACATCATTTCTGATAAATTCCTATAAAAAACATGATAAATATTACAATTAAATAATAATTATATACATTATAAATACTTTTCTCATTCCGACCGCAAAACACTTCTCGAGTCGACATTTTTTGCATATTTTTCTCGTCAATAGATTTATAATGCATTTGTTATTTGACGGACAATACAATGGCTTTAAACACAATTATATATTTAGTAATTATAATTAATTAACTAATTTATAAATTATTACCTTATTCTTTGCACCATAGCGTCTAAAGAATGCCTTACATGACTCACACGTTATAACAGCAAAATTCCTGGCTATTCATATAATTTATAAATAATAAAGAATTTTAATTAATTATAAATAACAATTACTAAAAAAATTAATACCAATGCCTTTATCGCCACAAACTTTACATATTTTAGGCGATTTATTAATAGATAAGTCACTATTCATTGTTAATTATAATTGTTATAATTATAATAGTTAAACATAAATGAAATAACTCTTATATCACAATTAAATATATAAATTACAACAAATATAATAATTTGTTGACTACTTTTAAACATAAGAACTGTAGTAATAGTAAACAAATATTTCATAGAGGTTACATAATCTAATAAAATACTCAAGGCCATATGGAATCCTTATGAAAACCATGATGAACGCATATTTATATTATTTACAATACATTTAAAATCAACGTTTAAACTAATTTTTAAGTTTTTAATAGAACATAAAATTCAAAAGATTTATAATGGTAATTATATATTGATAAACATTAGATTAACTAAGTTACTATTATTTTTATTTGAAAATAATTTATTAATGTAAAAACAAATTATACATATTTGATTAAACTGTAAATAAATGAGTTTACAATGTTACTTTGTAATAAAGCATTTAATTTATTTATGTATTGCATTTATTTATGTAGCATACTAACTTATTGTTTAATTATTTATAAATCATGAATTTCTATCATAAGAGGGCCCATATAATTCTTATAACTCCTGTATTCCGGGAGCCCTACCTTTAACTCCAACTCAGTTAATATATTCAAGTCCTTCAATGAAAGCATCAGTTTTTGCAGTTTTACTCTCGATTCCGATTCTGACCGATATTTCAATAATAGATATCTTTGCAGTAAATATATATACAGTTGTTGTTCGAGTCTAACAAATAAAAGTAGTTAGAAATGGTCATTAATTTAAACCTTTTGTAATCTAAATAACATGTAAATACTTACTTAACATTGTGTTTATGCGTTAGATTCGGTCGATTCGGGTTATAAAGTATGATCGCTGTTAACTATATGCCCAAATACACGTTTATTATACGGCGTTAAAAATTAATTAATGAATGTACTAATTGAACATCATTTACCAGGTTAATAGCGGTTGAATCATTATAATCCCATTCATCTATAAACCTATTCAGTAAAGGTATCATTATTTTAATATCACCTAGATTATTAGGTCCAAATACACTAATATTGGCCTGGACAAAATTCGCATCGTCCTATAATAAGAATGGACATTTACATTAAATAAATATTTATAATTCATATCTAATTAAGTTAATTAAAATAATTCTAATAATAACATATTTTATATAACAATATTAAATGTACTGACAAAAGGCATGATGATATTATTAGTCCATTTGTCGTAAAACTTGAGAGAACGGATTGAAGTCAATTCAATAAAGCCGTACTTCATTAGCGCCACCCTATCCTCACAGCATATCCTATTGAATGCGGCCAATGATTTAGTAAATTTAATCATGGTCATTACAATATAATCGTGGTTATGGCCATAGTTTCTTAGCAATTCATCCACACTATTCACTTGTATTATATTATTTGATATTTTATGATTAAATACAACGGCAGCGCTCGACAGCTCCGACAACCGGTTGGTTTCCAATTCATTCAAACCGTTATAATCCGTGATTTCCCTAAACATGGGAACAATTGCCGTGTTTTTGTATTTGCCTTTAAAATGTTTGATTGCCTCTAAATCCTTATTTATTTCAATGTGTGTAATAGAGGTATCAATGTTTGTGATCTCTTCGTTAATCTCATCCAAATTGATGTCAATTGTATTGTCGAGTATTTCATCCAAAATGTCTTTCTCTTTGTTTTCATTAAAAATAGTCATCAAATCATTTGATAATACAATAGAAGTGACCGAAGAATCGGCTAAAATATCACATTTTTCACGTTTTAACTTATTTTCCCGAATAGTTTTCCTTCGTTTTTCATTTTCCTCATCGCTTCTCATTAGTTGCTATTAAAAACACAATAAATATTACATTTTAATTAATTATAAATATAATTATAAATACTTTTTTCATTCCGACAGCAAAACACTTCTCGAGTCGACATTTTTTACATAATTTTCTCGTCAATAGATTTATAATGCAATTACCATTTGATGGACAATACAATGGCTATTAACACGAGTTAAAGTAAAGGTTAATAATTAAAACTTTACATTAAAAATACCTTATTCTTAAGTGCATAGCGTCTAAAGAATGCTTTACACGATTCACAAGTTATAACATCAAAATTCTTGCCTAAACAATAATATTTAAAATAACATTAATTATAAATTTTAAAATAATAAATAATTTAATACCAATTCCTTTATCGCCGCAAACATTGCATAATTTATTTAATTTCTTATCATTTATTTCACAATTCATTATTTGTCATAATTGTTGACTAAATACAAAATCATATGACAATTAAACTTATAATTTGGTAAAATGCAAAACGATTTGTTGTGAATTTATTAAAATTTATACATAGAATATAACTTTATGTATAATAATGTCCATAACGTACTATTTTTATAAGGACTAAATAGATAATGTAAAAAGTATTATAAAGTCAGATAAAACAGTTTTCAACTGATTTGCCAGTTATCATGATATAAAATCACGTGAACATAACATATTACATATTTTATTTAAAGTTAGTATATAAATATTTAGTAATATACAATAGAATACTACCAGAATTTCATTGTTTATAACACATTATAATTTATTCAATAAAAATTAGGTAAATTAGTGTTTATGATTTCACAATGTTGACTAACTTGTAAGTTAAATGATATTTATTACTTTTTTACAAACATTGACATTGACATTGATTTATATGATATCATTGTTTTTAAATAAAAATTTTATTAAACAAGTTAAAAACAAATTGATATAACACAGCAACTTTACTTATATCATAAGGCATTAGATTACAACTTAGTTATTTATATTGTTTCAAAAATTAATGATTATTTTAAATATGATATAGACAAAAACCGATGCTCATTTTAGAAAAATTAGTGCATACTGCATTACATAAATAAATCACACACATAATAAATCAAATAAAAATGTTAATCTACTCATAACAAAACCATTTTACTAGTACTTATAATAATGATACTATTAAAAATATTAATAATTCTAAATTTAATTGCTATTTTATACGAATGTAAAACTCATCATTCAATTTAAAACTCAATTTTATCATGGTTTATTATATCTATCTAGGACAAATTTCTTTGGACCGGAACTGGTCTAGGATAGATGGGTTAACAGTAATGCACAAATTTATAGATCATAAATTTCTTTCATAAGAGGACCGCAATATTGCTTATAATTCCTGTATTCAGGGACTCCTACTCTATATTCCAATTCATTTAATATATTTAACACTTTTAATGAAAGCATTAGTTTTTGAAGTTTTAGTCCCGATTCTGAATCCGACCGGTGTTTCCATAGTAGATATCTTTGCAGTAAATATATATACAGTTGTTGTTCGAGTCTAACAAATATAACGTTAAAATAATTAATCAATCTAGTTAATAGTATTGATAGAACATTTATTAATTATTGCTAATTACTTACTTAACATTGTGTTTGTGTCTTATATTCGGTCGATTCGGGTTATAAAATATAATTGCCGTTAACTACGAGTTAAAATAAATATACAAATATGTATTAAACTTGTAATAAAGTTAACAATATAAATTACCAAGTCAATTGCTATCGGATCATCATAGTTCCATTCATCAACCAATTGATGCATTAACGGCCGACATAGTTCAAGATATTTACCATTACCAAATGCAAACACCCTCATATTTGCCATAACAGTGGTAGCATCATTCTGCAAAACAAATTAATATTAATTTGCTATTACCAAGTAATTATATAATATTATAATTTATATTTAACTAGTGACATAATTTTTACTCACTAATGCAAAATAAAAATTCTCTGAAGTTTTGTTGTAATTTTTTAAGAATCGTATTGACAACAACTCATTAAACCCGTACTTCAATAACGACACCCTATCCTCAGGACATACCGTATTGAATCCGGACAGAGATTTAGAGAAATTGGCCATGTCCATTATTAAAAACTCTTGTTTGTGTGAACAAGTTTTTAACATTTCTTCTATACTATTAATTTGTATTATATTATCAGACATTTTGTATTCAAACACAACGGCAGCGCTCGTCAACTCCGATATCCTATTGCTTTCCAATTCATTCAAACCGTTATAATCCGTGATTTCTCTAAACATGGGAACAATTGCCGTGTTTTCGCATTTATCCGCTATTTCTGTCATTACAACGAGTGACTCATCTAATGTGATGTCTGTAATACTGTTCTCAATGTCTGTCATCTCATCCAAAGTAATGTCAATTGAATTGACGGACAATTCATCCAAAATGTCTTTCTCTTTGTTTTCATCGAAAATAATTAAATCATTTGAAGAATCGGTAAAAGAATAGACCGAAGAGACGGAAGAATCGGTCAAATCCTCAGAATTTTCACGTTTTAACTTATTTTCACGAATAGTTTTCTTTCGTTTTTCATTTTCCTCATCACTTCTGATAAATTCCTATTAAAAACATAATAAATATTACTATTTATTAATTATAAAATAAATCATAAATACTTTTTTCATTCCGACCGCAAAGCACTTCTCGAGTCGACATTTTTGGCATAATTTTCTCGTCATTTGATTTATAATGCAATTACCATTTGAGGGACAATTCAATGGCTGTGAACACAATAATTATATTATTATATTAAATAAATAAATTATTTAATTATTAATTAAAAACCTTATCCTTAAGACCAAAGCGTCTAAAAAAGGCTTTACACGATTCACACGTTATTACAGCAAAATTCCTGCCTTAAAATATAACACAATATAATTTAAGTTATTTTTAGAAATATTGTTTAAATATATAATTAATTAATCAATTAATAATTACCAATTCCTTTATCGCCACAAACTTTGCATATTTTATGCATTTTCTTATCACATAATTTACTATTCATTGTCACTTTAATTATTAATGAAGTTTATAATTATTATTACAATTAAGTTTACAATTTGTTAAAATAAATTGCAAGTTGTTGTTCACTATAAAACCTAATACTGTATATAACAGGACAGTAGAGATTAAGGGACAAGTAATACAAAGTGCAATTAAACATGTTCACTGCCAACTGATTAGATTGTCACCATGATAAGATTGCCAACACATTAGGCGTTGTTCACAAATTACATTTGCACTGGGGGAGTGGGGTCGGCCAATGTGAACTTTTGCGAAGTTTATAAATAACCTGGTATTTTATATCTTAAAATAGTGCGACCGTATTATGTCAACGACGCTTTATATTATAAATTTACAATTACTTTGAGTTCACACTTTGTATTTAAAGACCGACACTTTTGAGTAGTTTATCACAATATAATTAGTGTAATCAAAGTGTGTTTAATTTTAATTATTGTCGATAAACACAAACACGAATTGATCATGTGAAAGTAACCCACCAAGAATATTTTGATTTGTAAATACTCTGTTATGTAAAATGTCACTTTAACCAGACATTTAAACATGTACTTTTAGTACAAATCAAATATTTCAATGAGATTATCAACGAAATATTTCGTTATTCTTACATTGTTCAAACTTATAATAACAATAAGCTAGTATTTTCCATAAAATCGCTTTAGGCATATAATCGAAGGCTAATAATAATTAATGTGTTTATAATTATGTTTAATAATAAACAACTAACTTGATGATTATAATGTGACAAAATGTGTTATGATAAAGCATGATTTATGGGAAAACTTGGATAAAATTGATTTTATCATTACCATCATTATTATCTTCATTATTCTCCTCAACATTGTTAAACTTGTTTTCAATTTAATTTATTTAATCAAAACGTGTGTTAAAATTAGAATTAAACACCAAACTTAAACAAAATGTTGTAAAACTAATTTTAATGACTGTTTCAATACACACAACATTGCAATCAATTGATTTTTGAGTATATTTACGAGTTTTAAAACTAGATTACACTTATGGGTATTAAATAAGTGGGTAATATCTATGAGACTATGTCAATATTATGCTTTATATAGTGGACGTTTGTTAGAAGAGAGGGAGCGTTTATTAATAATCTCATAGATATTACCCACATATTTAATACCCAGATCTGTTAGTTTTCATTAATGATATGTAATATTAACATTTATTGAGATTTTTAAATAACAATTCCATATTATGTGAGATATTTATAATTTAATTAACATTTAGTTATTTATAAACAATTATTTAATTTTAATTTATAAATCATATATTTCCTTCACAAGTGGACCCATATATTGTTGAATATTCTTATAGTTCGGAACTCCAAACTTTATTTCCAACTCATTTAATGTATTCAACACTTTCAATGAAAGCATCAGTTTTTGAAGTTTTACTCTCGATTCTGAATCCGACCGGTGTTTCCATAACAGATATCTTTGCAGTAAATATATATACAGTTGTTGTTCGAGTCTAATAAATATAATGTGACAAATATTCAATCTAGTTTATTTTATAAATTATAAAAGCATAATGTTTCAATTGTTGTAAATAACTTACTTAACAGTTTGTTTATGTGTTATGTTCGGTCGATTCGGGTTATAAAACATTATTGCTGTTAACTGCAAATTAAAATAAATATATTGTAATAACTTAATAAAAAAATAATAAAAATCACCAAGTTAATTGCAATAGAATCATCATAATTCCATTCATCAACCAATTGATGAAATAGTGGCCGAACTAGATCTATATATTGATGATTACCAAACCCAAATGTATCCAGATTTACCATAATAGTATTAGCATCATCCTGTATTTAATAACAAATATATAGGAATATATTTAGAAATAATTTTGTTACATAGATCATTTATTTACTCACTATCGCAAAGCAAAAATTGTCTGTAATTTTGTTGAAATATTTTAAGTTTCTTAAGTATAACATCTCACTAAAGCCGTACTTTAGTAAAGCCACCCTATCTTCTGGACATATTGTATTGAATCCGGACAGAGATTTAATAAAATTGACCATGTTCACTATTAAATACTCTTGTTTAAGTGATAAAATTTGTGACACTTCTTCTACATAATTCACTTGTATTATATTATCAGACATTTTGTGTTCAAACAGAACGGCAGCGCTCGACAACCCCGATATCCTATTGTTTTCCAATTCATTCAAACCGTTATAATCCGTGATTTCCCTAAACATAGGAACGATTGCCGTGTTTTCGCATTTTTCATTTATATCCATTATTACCACAAAAGTCTCATCAATTATAGTGTCTGTAATACTGTTTCCAACGTCTGATATCTCATCCAAAGTAAAGTCAATTGTATTGTCGAGCAATTCATTCAAAATGTCTTTCTCTTTGTTATCATTGAATATAATTAAATCATTTGAAGAATCGGTAAAAGAATAGACCGAAGAGACGGAAGAATCGGTCAAATCATTACATTTTTCACGTTTTAACTTATTTTCGCGAATAATTTCCTTTCGCTCTTCATTTTGTTCATCAGTTCTGATAAATTCCTATTAATAACACAATAAATATTACTATTTATTAATTATAAAATAAATTATAAATACTTTTCTCATTCCGACCGCAAAACACTTCTGGAGTCGACATTTTTGGCATATCCTTCTCGTCAATGGGTTTATAATGCAATTGCCATTTGAGGGACAAATATTGATGAGCTATTATAACACAATTATATATTACTAGTGGTCAAGCATTTAAAGTTTAAAATAATTTAATAAACAATTTAAAAGTTTAATAAACAATTTGATAATTACTAATATAATTATATTTAAGTCATTATCAGGTAATTTTGCGATCTCTTATTTACATTTAAATATATTAGTTATTGATATTAAATAAATAAATTATTAAAATATTAATTGAAAACCTTATCCCTAAGACCAAAGCGTCTAAAAAATGCCTTGCACGATTCACACGTTATTACACCAAAGTTTCTGCCTTAAAATGTAATACAATTTATAATTTTTAATTGTTTATAACATTAATTTAATTAATTATTAATTACCTCTTTCTTTATCGCCGCAAACTTCGCATATTTTATGCAAATTTTTATCACATAATTTTCTATTCATTGTCTCATTTGATTCTATAATGAAATGTTTAATTATTATTACAATTTGTTGTTTATTATAAAACTTTATATAAAACTGGACTGCATTACAACTATTACAAAGTGCAATTAAACATGTTCACTGGCAACTTTTTGGAATCTAGATCGTTACCATGACATTATACTTTAATTATCACACTTTGTATTTAATAAACACTGACACAAATCGATCATGAGAAAGTAACATATTAATTACAATATTTTCATTTGTAAATATTCATTATGTATAAATGTAAACTTTAACATTAACCACAACTTTAAACATTTATTTTAAAATTAGTTTAGGAACAAATGCAGTAATGGCATTGATACATTACCTAGCATGTTCTGCTTAACCAAATACTTTTATATACATTAGTTTATAAGCGCGAGCCTTACGATGAATAAAGGAAACGTGCTTTTAATTTGAAAAATATACGTAAAGTTATATCGAAATGTATGGTTAAGTACTTGTAGTGAACGACTCAACGCCTGACAAACGACTGATGGGAAGAAAAGGGGAGTCGAGAGAGAGAGAGAGAGAGAGAGAGAGAGAGAGAG